ACTATAGGAATCATCAGTTAAGAAGTCACATTAACTATGTATAAGAGTGTGGTGAGACTAGTACTCTCCTATAGGGCTGGTAGGAATGAATATTGGTGAAACTTCTCTGGAGGAATTTCAATACATATTATCAAATGTGTCAAAAATATTCATCCAGGAAAACAATAATTTGATTTCTAGGTATGAATCTAAAGGAAAAAATCTGAACTTCATCACAAAAAGTATATTAACATAACTCTGGAGGGGCTGGGATTGTATGAGGCACAGGGTTAGATCCTCAGCACCACATAAAAATAAATAAATAAAGGTATAAAAAATCTGGAAATAATCTAAATGTCCAAAAAGGGATTCCCTAAGCTAAATGATAAGAAAACTGCCTTATTTATAGACTCAAATATAAAATGGTAATATACAATGTTGCTTACCTTATAAATTTGGGGAAATAAAGATAATGTCAATAAGAATATAACACACAGAATTACATAGAGTGGTTTTTAAATACTTCAACCTTTATTTTATTTATTTATTTACATGGTGCTGAGGATCAAACCCAGTGCTTCAGCTGTGCTAGACAAGTGCTCTACCACTGAGCTACAACCCCAGCCCCAGCTCAGTGGTAGAATGCTTGCCTAGCATGCACAAGGCCTAGGGGTTCAATTCCCAGAACTCAAAAAAAAAAAAAAAACAATCTAATCTTAAATGTATTCAAAAAAATATTGAAAAAAAATGTATCCATTGTTAGCAGAGCTATCTCTGGATGGCACGCTTATGGGAACTTGTAGACTGTTTTTGGTATCAACTAAATTCAATTAAATGAATTCATATGTTTGTAAAGTCACATAATAAATCTAACAAACCTCTCAATGGTTCTCCACACTCACTTTAAAACACACATCATTTGGGTGTTCAAGGCTCTCTATACTATATACTTCCAATATTTTTTAGAAACAGGACTTGCTATTGTTTCCTAAACATGCACCATATCTTTTAACCTTAGTCCCTTGGCAGACTATTTGACCCTTGTAGATCACTTTCTCTACCTAGCCAAGTTGTACCATGTTTCCAAAGTCATGAGAAACATAGTACCTGAGTTAGTCAGCTTTCTGTCACTCTAACAAATATTTGAGAAAAATCAACTTATAAAGAGAAAAGATTTATTTTAGCACAGTTTTGAAGGTTCCAGGCAATGATTGGCCTGGTTGCTTTTGGGCCAAAGGCAAGGCAGCACATCATGGTGGAAGCATGTAGTATAGCAAAACTGCTCACCTCATGGCCAAGGAGCAATAGAGAGAAAGAGAAAGGGAAAGGGGTCCCATAATCCACTTCACTGGCACACTCCTCAATGACCTAAAGACCTCACATAGGCCCTATATCCTAAAGGCCACCACCTCCCCAATAGAACTACCCTGGGAATAAGCCTTTACCACATGGATATTTGGATGACACTTAGGATTCAAAGTAGAGCACCACCTAAAGGTTCTTGTAACTCTGTGTTTACCTAGACACCAACCAGTAGTTATCTCTCCTTGTCTTTGACTACTACAGATAGCATTTTAGCACTTTTATTACTCTTAATGTAATTTGCCTTAAACGTAACAGTTGTCTCTATTTTAATGCCTCTACTAGATTGTAGTTTTTTGGAAAGGGACTCTACTTTTCTTTAGCTTTTTCTCTAATCTGACACACTGCTTCCCAGAATTAAGCATTTAATGAGTACTTGAGGAACTGAATAAATTATTGTCACAAGTGATTTAGTTTCTTCTCTTGGGCATAAGGAGAAAAAGAAAGAATGGGAAATGTTTCTCATTTCAAACTCAGCATGGAATTTTTCATAGTAACAATAAGAAAAAAAAGTACAATTATGGACCTATATCTTATTCTTTTTGCCAGATTACAATATACCCACGATTGGTAACAGTTACTATGGGCACAAAAATGTGTTTGAAATCCCCAAGAACCTACCTCTAAAATAGCTTTTGAATTATAGATAGTGCTTGAAGAGATAGGCTTGCAGATAATACACATTTTTCTTTTGGAAAAACATCACATTTACGTAAGTCTGCTTTAAGTCTCTTATGAAACAAAATATTGTTAATGACAATAGAAATTGTGAAAGACAGAGGAAGAAGGAAAGTAGATGTTCTAAATACCCAAGTTAATCTCTAAAGAGCAAACTCAAAAGGGAGAACGTAGGTAAGTTATAAAACTTTGTTTTTACTACTTTCCAACTCTACCTTTATCAGATTTACATTTTGTGAAACAACTGGAACTTTGAGAAAGTCTTTGAAGGTTGCTACTTTTGTTTTCCATATAAATCTATAAATTAATATTTGCAATTGCTGTGCAAATAAACTACACATGTTCCTACCTACTCAAGTGTGTAAGGGCAAACCCCTTCCTATTCTTAATGTCATACAGTACAGTGCTTCTTTTTTTTTTTGGTACCAGGGATTGAACCCAAGAGGTCTTAACTACTTAGTCACATCCCCAGCCTTTTTTATTTATTTTGAGACAGGGTCTCACTAAGTTGCTTAGGGCTCATTAAGTTGCTGAGGTTGGCCTCAAACTCAGTTTCCCTAGTTGCTGGGATTATAGGTATGAACCCCTATGCCTGGCACAGTGTTTTACTTTGGAATAGTGCTTGGATGAGATATATTGTGAGGTCTGCTCTTTGTTAGATTATGGTGGTAAAGGGGAGCCAGTTGGGATAGTTCTTAATTCATAATTGGACTAATCTTCCAATGCATATAAGTATTGCTGTAGTCATTCAGAGTATGTACTGAGAACTATACTAGGTATTCAGAGGCAAGTAAGATATATAAGACCTCTCCCTTCAATTTCTATAGGTTTCTGCAGAACTCATAAATAATCTATTTGAGGAAGTGAACCAATAAACAAACAACTGTACAAGATAATTACAGATTAAGGTAAGAGCTGTAAAGGAAAGAAAATAAGCAGGACAGGGAAGCTATTTAATAATCAGTGAAGGCTTCTCAGATATATTTAAACCTCAGAAAGTATAAAAGGACCTAGCCACACACTCTAACTGGGGAAGAGCCTTCCAGGCAGAGTAAAGAAGTGGAAAGTTCCCAAGATGGAAACAGACTCATTTTGTTTAATGAACACAAATGAGGCAGTATAGTTATGTTTTTCAAACTGTGGGTCATGTTTTAGATTGTGATGTCAAATTTGTGGGTCACTGAATTTTTTAAAAGGATGTCAAACAGTAAAAACATCAGAATCACATGGTTTCAGAAAGTATTTTTAATGAACGTTCATTTCAACTATGTGAGTATGCACATGTGTGCACTGGGTTGCACTATATGTTTCTTAATGCAGGAAGTGGTCAAATCTGCACCAAGCAAGGAGAGTAGTAAGAGGTAGCGATGTAGGGGTGGGCAAGAGCCAGATGATGTATGGTCTTGCATTGCAGGCCACCATGAAGATTAGGATTTTATTCTACATGCAGTGGGAAGGGGAGTGACATGATCTAATTTGACATCATGGCATTGCCAAAAGATTACTATAGTGAATTTCAGAAGGCCTGAGCACTGACCTTGGCCAAGCTACTAACACCAGGGATTTTGAGCAAATCACTTAATCTCCCTATGCCTCACTTTCCTCATTTTAAAAATGAAAAGGCTGAACTAAGATGACCTTTAAGATCTGTGTATTGCTAAATTTCTACCTATCTTTTGTTTTTTTTCCCTTGGGCATTATGAAATGACTACTGACCGCAGAATCACTAGTTCACTAGGTCTAGTTCTGAGTTACTTCTTAAAATACTATAAACCATGTAACTGTAAGAGTTACATTTCTATTGAAAGCAATTTTAGAATTATGTCTTTACTGTAACCAGCTATGTTATTTGAAATGAGATCTCTGGGCTAAAAGTGAATCAAGTGCTTTTGCAACTCTCTGGTGCAAAGTTTGGAGTGTGAAGAAAATTGGCAAGGAGGCATGAAAAGACTTACTGATCAAGCTATTTGGAACAGATTTCTTTATTTGTTCTAGGTCATCAACTGATATATAATCCAGGACAGTTTAAAGTTGCAATAAACTTCTGCTGAGCACTAGAGTCAAGATGTGCAAGCATAACTCCTTTCACAGAAACCAAAATGACTATTGAGATGAAATATTGAGAACTTATTATATGTTAAGTCCATGGTAGACAGTTTGATATATGCTTCTTCTTTTAATCCTCCTAACCTTATCTGCATTTCACAGATATGGAAACAAGCTCAGAATAGACAACTTTGCTATATAGTGGCAAGGTTGGGAATATAAACAATTTTAAGGTAGGCAACATAAAGATCCTTTTTCAATTCCATGTTTATAACTTATCGTGTATGTTTTAAAAAACTACTGTATGAATATTAAATCCTCAGTTAAATAACTGACAAATCAAGCATCTGTGATATCTGAACACAGAATGTTCAACCAATAAATCAATTCTGGAGTCATAGGAACTTTGTTAGGTGTAGTGTGAGGCTATAAGATAATTTGTTCTAGCACTGGAAGGCCTACACTGTGGGTAGCATGGTGGGTTATATGAAGTGAAGTTGTTAGGCAAAATATCAAAGAAACTGGCATATTCAATTAAGTACAGGTCAACAGTATTATGGCAATTTCCAGATTCATTTTCTCAGAGTGTCTCTGGTGAAAAGCCAGTTAAAGAACCATGGAATGGCCAGTGTCGCCTGTGTTGTAAGCTTAGTAAGTGTTCTACAGGTTCTATAAACGCGAAGAGATGCTAGAAAATCATCGAATTTCCAGTTTACATTAACCCTTTAAAGGAAGCATCAGACGCACCACTTGCCCACTTGGAGCAGCATACACAGTATGCTATGGAGAGCAAAAAATTTGAAACGTGCAGAACACGGTTCCTGTGAGAGTCGAAAGGGTCCCTGATACTTCCCACAGAAACACCCACAAATACCCTAGCAAAGTTGAGGATGCTCATTTTACACCTTTGTCAACCCCGAGGACGCAATGCTCACCTGTCACATACTCGGCTTCGAATCTTCGCCGGGTCTCAGAGATGAGCTTGGCTTTATTCTGGGCGTGATTCTGGGTGGGAGACACGACAGCTTAGATACTTCTCGCACTACACAGCTTACCCTCAACCCAGCCTACCTGCACCCTGGAGAGCGCCCCGGGCCTCGGAGGATGTTTCTGAGTACAGGGTGCCAGCAGCGGTGCAGTCGGCTCCTCACCTCGGCCATGATCGCGGTTGTGGATGTGATTGCAGTTGCTGAAGTCGTCGCCCCTTCCACCGCCGCCGCCAGAGTATCTCATCACCCGGCCAGTCAGGCCCAGAGGTAGACAGGGAAGGGCGGGAGGGGGAGGTGGTCGCGTGACACCGGAAGGCAGACGGAAGTGGTGCTGTACCGCTCTATCGGAGGCGGCCGGCTGGGCTTGGAGGAGGGACAAGGCTCTCAGCCTAGTCTCCATTCGCTTCTCGCTCGAGCCCCACCCTCCGCACTGCGGTCCCGCCCCCGCCAGCAGCTTGATCTCTGGCGCTGCCCCCGCCAGCTCCGCCCTGGGGAGCTGGGCTGGCCATTCGCTTTCACAACACTCCCGGGAGGTTCCGCCTCTTCAGACTCCCATGGCAACCGTCTCCCAGCCAACTCGGTACGCTCCGCCTCCTCTGCATTCCACGCAGCCTCCGCGCGGGGTCTCCCAGAATGCAGCGCGCTGGCGGGAGGTTTGGAAACTTCGGGCTCTGCACCTGCGTGGGTTTTCCTGAACGTAGCTTGATTAAGGTAAGGCAGAGTCGGCTCCTTTCCCCTCTCCGACTTCGCGGAGTGGGAGGCGGGCTGGACTTGCATCCCTTGCCTTCACTGAGCGGAAGAGCAGGAGGGAAACCGGCTTCCCGGGGCCTAGATCTGTTTTCAGTAGAAGGATTGAATTTTAAGTGCTTGCTGTATCCTGCTATTATTTCTCTGAAAACTTTCTTCATCCTTTCAACATCCTTCCCATTTGGAGTGTGTGATACTTAAAAGAAAAATTATCACTGAAATCTTTAGACTCAGTTATGTAAAGTAAAAAGTGAAAAGCGTCTTTCTGATTTAATTAAGGTAGTTGTTCTCAACGGGAGCGGTGGGCGGTTCTACCACTCTGGATACATTTGGTAATTTCTGGAGAAATTTGTGGTTGTCACAATTCTCAGTACTCAGGGAAGCTGATCTACTGGTTTCTAGGGGGCAGAAGCCAGGGACGCTGCCAAATATCCTGCAATGCATAGAACAAACCACAATGGCTGGCCAGCGCAAAACATCAATAGTGCCAAGTTTTGAGAAAGGTTTGGATTTATGAAGTACTGGAACAAATTTGAGGTTCGTTAATGAAAAACCAATAAGTGAAAGGAAATCGTTGTGCATGCAATGTTGTCTTTCTTAAAATTTGAAAAGTACTGAAAACAACAAAGAAGTTGTCAGAATAGTCTCTGCATCATCCATAGACAGCCACTATAATATGGCACTTAAGAATCTTTTTGCCCCAGACTGTTTCATATATTTACACTCTTTTCTGGGAAAAAAATCAAACACATTGTCTAAAAATGGTTTGAATACATATGCAGAGACTATTTCAGCTGGGATGTAGCTCAGTGGTAGAGCACTTGTCTGGCATGCTGGAGGCCCTGGGTTCCACTTACTGCACGACTAAATAAACAAATAAATTCAGCTATAACTAAAGTTTCCCTCTAGTTCCACTACCAGACCCTGATATCCATCACCTTGTCTGGAATCATCAGCCATTCAACATTTAGCATAAACTATTTAGTTTTGCTTTTATATTTTGGACCCCACTACCTGGGTTTGAATCTTAACTCTGGTACTTTCTATCTGTAGGCCTTTGGAAATATCCTGAAATTCTGTCCATCAGTTTCTCATTTTTGAAATGATATAATAATAATCCCTATGGCATAAGGTTGTCATGAGGCGTAAATGATTAAACCGAAGTGCTTAGAACAGTACCTGGCACTATTCTATGAGGAAAAAAGAAGTCTCTGCCACTATTCCCAGATAAAATACTTAGAGAATATAGCAATTATAGGTAAACAGAAAGTATATGATGCAGGTTCTAAATATTTTCATTTCTGTAAATAACATACTACAGTATCTCTTGTTTGCAGTTTAGTTTTTTAATTTATTTTTGAAATGTAACTACGATCATTAACACAGTTCTAATATGTTCATTTTAACTATTGTGTGATAAGCCATCTGTATGTATTCATTATCCTATTGATGGTAATTGAGTTTTCTTTCTTTTTTGTGATACTGGGAATTGAACCCAGGGCTTCAGGCATGCTAGGTACGATCTAACACTGACCTATAGCCCCATTTTTATTCTTTTAGAGACTGAATCTTACCAAGTTGCCTAATCTGGCCTGGAACTTGGGATCCTCCCACCTCAATCTTCTGAGAAACTGGGAACAGATACATGTCACCGCACCACACATACCTTTTACTTTTTTTATATTGCAAATAATAGTGCAGTGGACATTCTAGAGCAATGTCCTTATTTGTATGTGACATTATTTCCCTGGATTTGTATCTAGAAATTAAATAGCTGTGTATATGCATTTTGGATTACTGCCATATTACATTCCAAAGTCATCTTTCCCTTTCATTAATTACTCCTAATTGTTAGCTTTGTTTCCATTCCTGCTTCATTCACATCTTCAACACTGTCACCAAGGTCTTTATAACACAGAAATACAATTTTGTGGTTTCTGAATTTGAAGTCTTTCAATGGATTATTGCTTATAGGAGAAAGACGTTCTTAGTATGGCATAGAGAGCCTTCTTTTTTAATATAACTTTATTCAATTAATTAATTTATTTTTATGTGGTGCTGAGGATTGAACCCAGTGACTCACACATGCCAGATGAGTGCTCTACCACTGAGCCACAACTCCAGCCCCTAGAAATTCTTCTTTAACTTAATGTTCCTTAATTCTTTAACTTAGTAAATCATCATTCCCCTACATATACTGACATTTTAGGCATATTAGATAATTTTGGGAAAGGAAAAGGGGAAATCAATTCTGGATAGATTCCCAGTAAATGGTTAATATAGGGGAAGCCACTTTAGTGGTGGACATATTTGGTAGACAACTTAATTCACTTAACAATGTCAATATATGGTTAAAAGGACTTCTGTCAACATTATGTTTGTAAGATTGTGTTCAGTTGGGCATCTTAAACTCTACCTCTTTTTACAAAGATTTTTCTGCTTACAATTGATATAGACATTTTTTGGATTTCATATGCAGATATTATAGTGCTCTTATAGGATGTTTCTGAACCATAGTGGTAGTTTATTTAAAGAGTTTTGAAATTTATAGTGCCAAAATGAATTAAAAGAAGTACCATGTTCATTGAGGGAGGAGATTAGGAGAGAAGAGTGGATAAGGGAAATAACTAATTGCCAGCCTATTATGTTTGTATTAACATAGGTTACTGTCATTCCTGGTATCCTTGGGTGACTGATTCTAGGACCCTTACACACAGATACCAAGATCTGTTGACGCTCAAATCTGTTATATAAAATGGTATGGCATTGTATACCACTTACACATACCCATCTATTTTTAATCATCTCTGGATCTTATAATATCTATAATACTTATAATACCTAATGCAACGTAAATGTTGTGTAAATAGGTGTTACACTCTATCCTTTATGGAATAATGGCCAGAAAAGAAAGTAGGCATGTACTGTACTGACTTAATTTTTTTCTGAATATTTTTGATTAGTAATAGGTTGACTTCACAGATGAGGAACCCATGGATATGGAGAGCTGACTATATATGCAAATGCTCTGCCAATTTATATAAGGGTCTTGAACTCTGGTGGTTTAGTATCTGTGGGAGGTCCCATGACCAATCCTCCATGATACCAGGAGATGAATATACTCCAAAATTTAGCAACTAAAACAGCACATTTATTATCTTCTGATTTTGAGTGTCAGGAATTTGGGAGCAGCTTATCTTGGTGGTTCTGGCTCAGACTCTTTCCTGGGGTTGCAGGATCTTCTCCCAAGAAGGCTCACTCATATGGCTTTGGCAGAAGGTCTAATTTTTTTGCTGGTTGTTGGTAGGAAGCCACAGTTTCTTGCTGTGTGTATATCTCCATGGGAGTACTGTGTGGCAGGTTGTATCCCCCTGTGCAAGTGATCTAAGAGGTGAAAGAAGAAGCCACATTGCTCCTTATGACCCAATCCTGGAGTCACAAAATTACTTCTGCCCTATTCTCTTGGCTAGAAGCAAGTCACAATACCCAGCCTTCACACAAAGGGGAGCACAATTAAGTGCCACTTCTTGATGGAAATTGCAACAAAGAATTTGTGAGCACATTTTAAAACCATAAGTGATATATTTGGAAATTAGATAATAAGATATGACATCTCCAGTTTGAAAATAAATGCTAATTGAATCTGCTTTTAAGTAAAATTGCCTCTGTAAATCAAAGTCCTTTCTGTAAAATACAGTCTACATTGACTTCAATTTTAGGTTATGGTTCATAGTGATGCATTTTTCTAATTGAACTATTAATAGATTTTTATCATGAATAAATAAAACTTAAGCTTTTGGAGTTTGCTTCTCATTCAAGGAAAAAGAATCTTATTTACTTGTAAATGATCTAATTTTCAGTTGTTTCTCAAACAATTGAAATTTCTGGAATACAAAATGGTGCACAAGTGGGAGAAGGATATGAGAGTTATTTATAGTGGACGGGAATCCTTCTTCACAAATCTTTAAGTATGTAACTATTCTTTTGATGTTTGGAAGGTTAAATACTTTATGGGCCAGAGTTAGCCATGATGACTATGATGACAATGATGTTAGCAGTAAACATTTATTTGAGTACAGTAGTTTCCTCTTATACATAACTGATATATTCCAAAATCCCCAGTGAAGGCCTGAAACCATGTGTAGTAGTGAGCTCTCTCTCTCTCTCTCCCTCCCTCCCTCCCCCCT